GGGGGGGCCCCTAGAATAATGTCTAGAGATTTGAGGCTTCAAATCTTTATTCTTTTTCTTTGCCTTTTGATTTGATTTACTTACCATTGAAATTGCAGGTCTTTGGATTCAGATTTCCATTGAAATTTAAAAAGTTAGTTCTATTTCCATTGATTCATTCCCTTTTATTGTAATTAATATTCCAGATGTCTTCAAAGTAGATGTCTTCAAAGTTAGGTTTCTTGATTCCTTTCATTTTAATATTGCCAGAGTAGCTCCAGAGGTAGCTAGCTAAGGATTCCTTATTTAATTATCAATTGATTGATTTTCTTATACATTATTTTGGAGGCCTTGGTTGTTAGGGGGCGGTTTGTAAATCAAGGGACTACCTTAGTGTGAGAGAAGGTGTCAGAAACATCGCACCAGGAATGTTGCCCAGGAAAAGCGCAAGGTGATGACGTTCTCAACTCTTCAGTTTATATTTGCTTTGATGCCAAGTGGATTGGTTCGGCATTTACTCCTTCCAGTAGAGTAGAGTCCGTAGAAGATTCGCTGGAGGCGAACGAGCTGTGCGAACAAGCTGGTAACGCAAGGCAATTGGTGCACTCCGGGTGATTTAGGATGATATATATTATATATGATAGATCAATAATCATCCTCGCATTCTACACTTGGGGGATGTTGAGGCACAGGCTGCACAGGCTGGGGGACCACTGCGATCACCAAGCCATTCCAGGAATATGGTCCGAAAATTCTTGTCTAGAAGTCGCCATCATCCAAGTTAGCTGTACACCTAACTCCCTACACCACACATGGAAAAACATGATCCATCTGAAAGACCCTCGCTTTCTTCCCCTGAAACCCTGCACTCAACATCGCAAAAATCATCAGCTTCAATGCTTCAGTTCGCAATCACCCCTCGTCAGCCCAGATCTCTTGACTGAGTCGCCGAGACCGGGGAAGGCCTTTGCTGCCCTTGGAGTCGCCGACGCGGTTGGAAGACCGGGGAATCGACTCGATCGGTAGAGAAGCCGCAGAGCAGACGCTTTGGGCGGTCCACGACCAGCCCGGGCTCCAATGAAATCAGTAAATCACAAAAGAGGTGATTCGAGGTGTCTTTTCACCAACCCTTAGGCTGGAGTTGGTATGATCGTTTTGTTTCTTTGGCGGTGACCCCTCCACCACCAGCGACTGTCGGGCAATTCAGCCAGAGAATCCAACATCAACACTGGCTACTATACGATCTACCCGGCCGGAAGTCACCTTCTATCGACTTCGAAAAAGAGCCGAAGAAGGTCAAGGCCTCTGATTATAGCACTGAATGAATGTCCAGACGTATATACCAAATTTCTCCCCCAAAAGCGTCTCAAACGAGCTGAGAATGGCCAGGAACTGCTGAGAGTTGAGCGAGTTGAGTGGCCTCCCCTCAGGTGTTTCCAAGTGTTTCCAGGCGTTTCCAGGTGCTTCCAGGTGTTTCCAGGTGTTTCCAGGTGTTTCCGGGTGTTTCTATCGATCTAATTACATGATTACATGGAGCATCATGGAGCAAATTCTACCGATCGATTTAATTCTATCGATCTACAGTAAGTCTACCTATCGAATTCTATCTGTGTATCTAATTCTGTTCTGTCTATCTGTCTATCTGTCTGTCTATCTGTCTATCTATCTATCCATCTATCGATCTATCGATCGATCGATCGATCTATCGATCTATCTATCTATCTGTCTGTCTGTCCGTCTGTCTGTCTATCTATCTATCGATCTAACAATCTATCTACAGTATCTATTTATCTATCTGTCTATTAATCTATCTATTTCCGGCAGAAACGCGGTGTGACGAGCTCTTCGGTGTTTTGTGGGCGCTTGAGCTCTCTGGGGGGGCGCCGGGCTGCACCGGGCTGCAGAGTTTGGACGCCGAAAAAAGCGGGTCTTCAAACGAGACTGTTGGCGGTTCTTCAGATGAACGAACCAATGGACATTGACACAAATGGCCAGTGGTCAGTGGTCGGTCAGTGTTTATATACTCAGCTTGATGTGGGTTCATTCATCTTGTGGCGTTTCTGCCTACAGACAAGTTAACTTGTGCACACTGCCGGGACTTGATTTTCTACCCAACTTGGGCATGGTCATGCAGTGAAGAAAAGAACAAAAAATCTCAGCAAGGCAGCGGCTTCTATACCGTGATGCAGCCTGGGCAATGGTGTGCGCACCTTAACAACTTCCTGGAGATACATGCATTACCCAAGCAGCACAGAAGTTGTTGCAACGTTTTGTGGTGCAGTGGTGCACCTAAAACCCCATACGACCGATCACTTGAGTGCTCTCACAGCTCCGCTGGAAGACAAAGGCAGTAACCTGAATACCATTCCCTAGAGATCCAGTCGGACCTTCTCAGAAGGTACTTGGACGCTCCAAACCTACATAACCGTGTCTCCAATCACCTTTTCAGAGGATATGTGGATCCCTAGGGATTGAACATTGTAGTGCCTTTCTTAAAAGCCTCTTAAGAGGATGTTCCCTGGATGCTCCGTGGATGCTCCTTCCACTGCAAGAAATGTCTCGTGTCCACGAACACCAGCTGGTCTCCTCCAAGTGACCATTCGGTACAGCTGCGCCAACGAAAGCGACCAAAGAGTGCCCTTGGTCGAAGCAGAGATGCTCGAGCCGTAGGAGACTTCATTCCTCAACGCGGTTCACGGCGAAAACCCTCCACATCCCTCAACGAAACATAACGAAACCGCACAAAAAAACATAACCCACACACTCCATGTCTGTCATACCTTAACCCCTCAAACTACCCCAATGGATCCGGTTTAGTCGTCCAGTCCCATGGGTCGTGTCTGGGTAAAACCCTAGGGCGACTTCACCATCTCCTCAGGTTCGGTGGTTAGACCCTCCTGGCATCCACCCCTGGCCCATCTTCTCAGGAGGTGTAGTGTCGTCCTCGATAGAAGGACGTGGCACAAGACAAAAAAGACACCAATACACGAGCCATGTGGAGGGGTACTATATAGGGAAAGAAAAACGAACTCCAAACGCCCCAGGTTGAAACCACCCACCTTCTCGACACCTACCACCTTCTCCCGGACCGGACTCGGAACGGTGGAACCGCCGATCGATAACGGCCCGAACGGCCCGTGTCTGCCGGAGAGCCCGGTGGCCCTGCCGGACGAATCGGACGCTTTTGATATGCTTTTCTGTGACCTTGGAGAGTAGTTGGAAGGAAAAAGTACATCAAAGCAATGGAGTATCGGAGAAAGGATGAAAAAAAGGATGGATGACAATTAGTCAACGGTTCCTTTTGCCAGGTGCTCCCTGTCCTAATTCACGTCCAAATCTTCAAAGCGTTTTGTGGGGTATTATATAAGTTCTTCATAGCTCTTCTATCTGTTTGTTGATCACCACAAGGGAAACACAGGCTTCGCCTGACCAAATGCTCCTGACAAGTCCTTCCTGTAGGTAAACTAAACTGTAAGCATCTGTAAACTAAACACATAGAATTGTCATGTCCTGTACATCCAGCTCCCAGACTACACCTTGAAAACCTCACGAGAATCTGGCCTTCCCGGTGAGGTCTGTGTTTTCATTAGGTCTGTAGTGAAGCTGATGAATCAGAGTCTTTGACCGGATAACGCACGAAGACTCAATAAATCTCCTTCACTCCTCGATTTCGCCTGGAGAAGACCTCTGCAGATCGGTCGTTGGGTAGCAGTCTTTCGCCTTTCAAATCCCAACATCAAAGGCCGCGAGCGCATGCGCACGCGCCGCGAGCTCAAAGCCTTCACAACTTGATTCCAAGATTTCGCCTCCGAACACATCACATGGAAATGACAAACCCCCTGTTCGTCAAGGCAAGCCGTCTTCCAAAAAAAATGTCATCCACTTTAAGTTAGTGGGTCAAAGTGTAGCCTCCGCGATCTTCCAACATCTGCAGCCAAACCATGGAACATCATGGAACTCAGGTCGGACAGCAGGAAGCCAAACACATCGATTTCACCCATCTAATTCTGCCGCTGATCCATGAATATATATATATATATATATGTCGTGATCCACATACCCTCTAAGAAGGTGATTGGAGACACTGGTATGTATAGGTTTGGAGGGTCCAGTCGTACCTTCTTAGAAGGTCCGACTGGATCCCTAGGGATCCCTATAGGGTGTATATATATAATTACGACGAACAGCTTTACACCAAAACAACAGCAACAACAACAACAACACAGCGCCCATCTTGAAACGACTCGCCCTTCCACCTTGGGTCGTTCGTTCTTCACCTTCCACCTGGATCTTCTTTGGAGCGCCAAAATATTGCCAAAAATAGATTTGTATGGATCCACATACTATCTGAGAAGATGATTGGAGAGTATTTCAGTAGGCTTGGTGGGCTCAAATACCTTCTGAGAAGGTCTGTGGATCCACCTCCGGGATGATATCTCAATGCCAGGCTCGGGCGCACGCGTCGCACTCCATGGATCAACTCCATGGCCTTGCTCCACTGAAAGCCCTTCTCACAGCTGCTCATCACCGAGCCTGGCGAGTCTCCCAGGGCTTGTTGCAGAGGTGATGGTGGAGATCGGGAGATCGGTGGTTTCGATCGAACGAAGGCTTTTTGGACCTGAACATGAGGTATTGGCATTTGCTGGTTGTATGCTTTGGATGTGTTAGGTGTGTTTTGATGAAGAAAAAGCGGAACCACCAATGCATCCGCCAAGTGTTGTTAGGCAACCCTCCCGTCACCTGCACTGTGAAGAAAGTCAACACCAATCACTGCAAAACCAGATCCTTCGAAGTATCATGTGGGTGGACATACAGCGGGATGGGATGGGGTCTTGACAGTGAGTTTATAGATCAAACATATGAACTAGTCATCACCCACAGTGAGCAAAGCCTACCCGAGACACGTGTCTGTAAAGGTCACTCAACGTCAGTATATTACCATGACCCCCTGTGATTGTATAGAGGATAGGTCCACGATGGTCCACGTGGTTGAAATATCCGTGGATCAATCGAAGATCCAATCCAAAATCCAGGCGATTCACTTCTCCTCGAAGACCTTCAGGAAAAAGAACATGAATCGAATTCTTCTGAGGATCTGGTGCTTCCTGGCTTTGTCATCCATGTCCACCCATCTGGAACCACTTTCATCCGAACTCCCCCCAATAGAATCGTGAGTCCGCTTCGGGGATTGGTGGATGTCAACTTGTCAACTGTTTGGGGGATGGATGCAGAATGATCTATAGCTTTCTGCTTCTCAGGATCGCTATAGGCTGATGAGAAGCGGGTCAGCTAGCAGCATGTTCTTTTCTATGTAGCACATGAATCAAGCAACCAATATATATATATGAACCCATCAACTATCCATCCAATCCAACCTAAGCCCAGAAATCCAATGAATTCAATAAAGGCTTTCACAAACACACACATACACACCCAACGGGCTCGCATGAACCTCCAACCGACTGGTCTATGTTCCGAACCTTCCGGGATCGCCATGTCTGAGAGGTCTCCCCCAAGCTGAACACGCCCATGTTGCTCGGATGACACCCAACCAAACTCCACACAACGCGCCCGACCGGTCGGAGAAGGTGTCGTCTGACTGTGTAGACGACCGACGTCTACAAAGACCCAAGGTACCTGGACCCTCCGGGTGTCCTGGCTGGACTACCCCACACTACCTATATATAGGCTTCCAGACAGGGTACCCCACGGTGTCGGGTCCTGGTATGCAGTGACACCCAGTGACACCCAGTGACAGTTGTCAAACGCCCAACTCTCCGTCCCTCTCCAACTCTGACGGGCGACTGATGGAGATGGTAGTGGGCATCAGCCTGCATGCAAAAAGACCCAACATGCTCCGCTGTCGATGTATGTTAGACATGTTTGAAACACATTGTTAGAGCTTGTGCAAATATGCAACATCAAAACATGATTCAGCTGAAGCCAACCACACCAGCATGCCAAGCACTTTCTTTCCCCGAACCAGCTGGTGACACGACTCACTTCTTTTTAAAGCACCACTTCTTGAGACCAGCCAGCCACCTCCACTTCTTGAGACCGGACAGAGCAAAAGCGACCGGACATCCTAAGCGACCGGACTGCAGTTGTTGCAGTTGTTCCACTGGATTCGGTAGCGAAGAGTATTGCGCCACCTGAAGAGCTTCATGGTCTCCAAGGTGTTCAGGATCATTGGCCAGGGACTCAGACTCTTCATCATCGAATGACCTCAACGGAATCGTCACTCCGTTGCCACTCTCTGCCGTTGGGCTGAAAAAAGTGGACACTGGAAGATCACTGGAAGACTGAAGAGCCAAACAGAATGGCTCCAAACAAATCAACGGAATTCACCAACACGTAAACATACGGCCAATGCCCAAGGATTCTGTGCCCTCTTGATCCAAGTGGGTGTCAGCAGTTGGGAGGCTCTACCTAAGCACGGATTCGGCGCAGAAGGACGTCTTTTTGTCCTTGGGGAGCTCCCAAAAACGATGTTCCTCGTGCGACCATCCCGCCACAAGTAAAGTTTGATCCTCCCTCATATGGTGTAAACCTTTAACCCCAGCGGCACATGAAGTCGCTCTCCACCAGCTTCTCTGCCTTGAGCTGTGCAAAGAGCAGCACCGCGCTTGGCCATGCAGTCGCTTCCGTGCTCAACAACACGCTCCGCGTCACCGGGTTCAAGGGAACGCCAGAGTTGCGTTGCGCTCCGTAGGTGTCGAAGGCTAAGGCCCACCTGGCGGGAAGGCGTTTCTCTTGGCTTTAAAGGTGGGAGGTGAAGTTGGCGAAGTGACGAGAGGTCCATTCAGGGCCTGAACTGCAGTAGAAATGCCGAAGTCTGCAGAGCCTGCAGGGCCTATCAGTTGAACGACTAGTCGTTGGTCTGGCTTGGGGAGATCAATGTTTCAGACCAAACATCCAAAGCGGGTGATACAATGTACTCCTTTGCGCGATCGCAGCTAGAATGCGCTAGCCTATCCAAGAATCCTGCGAAGGTTGGCCTTGCAGGCGCGGTATTTATACATATTTGTGCCAGGTGACTCCTAAGAAGTACCATTTGGTATACGGGGTGTCTATTAACGACCCGTTAGGTTGGAGGCCATTGCTATTAGGTTGGAAGCCATGGCTGTGAGGGGTCTCGACCCGTGCTACTAAGGCACTGCCTCTGCTCCTGGTAGCACGTCATCGCCGAGCCAAAGGACACCACGTCAGCCCGAAGGCTGTGGCATGGACCGATCAGGGCGTCCAGGAGGTGCGAGGCCCGTTGCCAGGGAGGCACACAGGAGATGAGAAGGTTCAACGTGAAGGATGTCCTCAGGATTTGGGGCCCTGGGGGCGGGGAGAACGCCCTGGAGGAGGGAATGGAGATTCTGGCAGATGTTCACCGGTGCTTGGTCTGGATGGATTTTGAGGGTTGGTGCTTTCAACGCAAATGAGTGCGTCTGGAATGATGGATCTTCGATCCAACACAACACACGAAGCACATCCAAACGGAATGAGCAGCATTCCCTGCATAGTTGTTATCAAAGGAAGTTTAGTGTACGAAACTTCCGTGTTACGGACATTCAAGAACTGTTCATACACCATTCATCAATACACCACT